ATAAACATGTGATTTATTTCCCAGCTGCTTACCTTCACAGACATAACCGACTGTTTTTTGTAACTCATGTGTGTTTTTAACGTAAACTTGTGTGTGAATGAGAACTTAGTTTAGTGCTCGCATGCTGTGACAGCCGCTTTCTGTGCGTGTGCTTCAGATGTGTGCGCTCAGAAAACCCTATATCAGATGTTTAAATTAATATGGTTTAAAATGCATGATTTCAGCGCGATAAACATGATAATCAGAACCAAAACAGATGTTTTTAGCAGGTACGAGCTGTAAAGGCACAGCTCTATTCTGGAAAAGGGGGCGGGGAGCAGCAGCTCATTTGCATTTAAAGAGACAGGCCCGAAAAACAGCGTGTTTCTGCTTCCACTCAAAATAGGCATTTTCAAAATGATATAATAAATGATCTGTGGAGTATTTTGAGCTGAAACTTCAGACACATTCTGGGGACACCAGAGACTTATATTACATGTTGTAAAAAGGGGCATAATATGTCTCCTTTAAGTAGATTCAGTTTGAAGATAATTAGCAGAATATGCATGAAAATGTTGATTTCTAAACTGCATTTTAAAAAAGATTCAAGTAGAAAACAATTATTTTAAATTGTAGTAATCTTTCACACAGTACTGTTCAAAAGTTAGATTTTTTTTAAATAATGTTTTACTTTTAGTCAGAGAACACACATTAAATAGATTAAAAGTGACAGTAAGGACACTTCTATTATTACAAATTGATTTTTTATTTCAAATAAATGCTGTTCTTTTGAACTTTCTATTCATCTTGAATCCTGAAAAATAAAATGTATCACGGTTTCCACAAAAATATGAAGCAGTACAGCTGTTTTCAACATTGATAATAATGTTTCTCGAGCAGCAAATCAGCATATTATACTGATTTCTGAAGATCATGTGACACTGAAGACTGGAGTAATGATGCTGAAAATTCAGCTGCGCATCACAGAAATAAATTAGAGTTTAACAGATATTCACATAGAAAACTGCTATTTTAAATTGTAATAATATTTCACAATTTTATATGTTTTTCCTGTATCTTTAATCAAACAAATGCAGCCTTGGTGAGCAGAAGAGACTTCAATTAAAAACATTTTTAAAAACTCTCACCAACCACAAACTTTTGAACAGTACACAGCTCTCTGTGAAGAAGTCGTTATTCATTACAAATGTCTCTAATATTTGTGATCTACAGAAGAAACACAGTCACACAGGTTTGGATCGACCCACGAGTGAATGATGACTTTTCATTCAGATACAGTGAGCATATATGAGTGTATGAATGTAATGAGACCCGGGGGAAGTATATATTACGTATGTAAATATGATCTGGCGAGGGGAAGGGTGCTGTTCTTGCATGTTGAACACATCCATCACTTCTATTGCTCTCAATAAACATGCAGCATTAACTGACGGTGACGCGGTAATCGCTCTGCTGCGAACACACGCTTCTGTGATATGAGGATAGAGTATCTGTAATGCACTGAGCCTGTTAATATAGCAACATTTCATCTCAAACCACATAAAATCACTTACACACACACTGAGCATACATGAATGAGTAATACACACATCAAATTGAGTTTTATTGCCATTACAGAGCCAATGCAAGGAAGATATTAAAATAAGCCGCCTGGGATCATGCTGCAACACACCAGTGTTATTTTAGTGTCTTTGAGATTCTATAGTAGTTTTTATTAATATTTTGAATCAGTTTTAATTTTTATATTTTCAATTTTCATTTTAGTAACAGTTTAGGGTTTCTTTAAATATGTCTATATAGTTTAACTGTTTTTATTTTTAATTTTTCCATCTTCATTTTAATTTTAGTAAATGTTTTTGTATTTTTTTCTGTAAATACGTCT